AGACAATCAGAGGGCCAGATGTGGCCCTGGGACTGTAAAATGCCCAAGTCTGATCTAGAAGGTCTTAGATGAAGAGGGGGCCCGCTAGCTATTGGAACAGAGAGAAGATGCTTTTTAACTTTTAAGTTTGGAGATAGCTTGACCTCTGGACAGACACATCCACAGGATCTGATGCTTCAAGTCAACAGAATGAAAATAACATTGTGGGCATTGCAATGATTGATTGCTCCCCTTTTATACATGTCAGTCTTTATATCTGTTGGTGGAATTGATAGGGTTAAGCTCATTCAGCCCTTTTGGGGATCAAGGGGTGGCTACGTAGAAGGGGGCTCCCTCCTGCTTCACTTCCTCCCCTATCTGAAGATGAATCAACTGCAACCTCTGAAAGTTAGCCATTTTATTGTAAACCAGCAGTGTAATTTCAGGATCCTGGGGTGGAAGCAGCAACTGGGGGTGGGGCTGCAAGAAGCCCATCTAATCCATATCGTAGAAGCCCATTTGAGCTGCAGCTGATTCAAATAATCAGCTGATCGGAGAGAGAGCGCTGTTGATTTTTTGCAAAAACAGATTCTTAGCTCATCATGCAGATTGCTTGGGAAAAAGACATTTAAAAGCTTCAGAGAAATTCTGCCTTAATAAATCTATATCTATATATCTATTATATTATTGTTTTATTGTTTATACTGTATAACAAAGGATGTCTGTCTGTCTATCTGTCTGTCTGTCTGTTCAAGCATAACTCTGGAATGTCTCGAGCAATTTCGACCAAACTTGGTACACAGATGACTTACCCTCTGGAGACAAACACTGTGGGGGTAAGACACCCCTGAAAGGGGGGGTATCTGTGTCTGTGTGTGCGTGTGTGTTCCAGCATAACTCTGGAAAGTCTGGGCCTTTAAGGAGAGCAAGTGCAGTGCCCTACAGCGGCAATTGTTCGTGATGTCATGGGAGGGTGAAGGGAGCCTGATTAGGCCAGTACAGAGGCCTTTGATTGAGCGCGCCATGGCCTAAGCAGATCACCCGCCCCCAACTCACTATGGCAGCCCAATCTCACAGGAAACAGCTTCGGCCTATGTTCCCAGGATCATCCTTCGCCCCAACTCAGGTCTAGGCTTCCCTCATTCAGTAGGCCTGCGAAGTGCCAGGATTGTAGACAAGGCGGGAAAGAGGAGTGCATGGGAGGGGGAAGGGAGAGGGCAGGAATGATGGGCATGGGAGTAGGGGGAAGAAAAGCCCCTCTCAATGGCTCCCTGTCAGACAAACGCTTCAACGTCTATAAATACCCAGGCAACAGCAGGTCATCAGCTAGTGCATTAATACAAGAAAGCTGGACGGTTCTTATCTCACTTCCCCACATTTTGTATTCTAACCCCAAATTGTTGGTCTTAAAGCTCCTAAAAAGAAGTCCGTGTGAATCTTGCATCCATGAACTGCAGTGGAGAGAGTCCAATACCCGTTTTTCTCCATTATCCCAACCCATGTAATCTTCCCACTTGCCCACATGCGCCGAGGCTTTCTGAGCTAAAGGAAATCTTTCTGGTTTTCCTTATTTATTCCATAGTTATTGACTAGGCTGCATCTGCTTTTGTTTCTCCATTGATTTCTATTGATTAATTGTACAACTCTTTATATGCTTTGTTAGCCATCTAGGGAATATTTTATGCTGAAGGCACTGGCAGAACAAAACTTAAAGGAATAAAATATGATCAAAAGAGTAGGCAATAAATTGCTGGTTGCTTCACCAGGGTAGCTGTGTAGGAACGATGATTAAAAGAGAAAAATATGCAACAGATGTACTTACGATATCGCCTTTGGATCCACTTTTCCCCGGGAAGCCCTACAGAGAGGAAAAGGGGAAAATATGAAAATTAGAAGATGTGGAATCTATTGCAGCACTCTGAGAAGGTTTTCAACAGGTTTATTCCAGATGGTTTGGGATTACACAATTCCCAAATTGAATATCCAGAAAATCAGATCATGTAATCACGACCAATATAATTTGGGAATGACTAGACTAGGCTATCGCGTCCAGCTGTGATATAGTCAAGCGGGATGTGGTGGCTCAGTGGCTAAGATGCTGAGCTTGTTGATCAAAAAGGTTGGCAGTTCAGTGGTTCGCATCCATAGTGCCGCGTAACAGAGTGAGCTCCTGTTACTTGTCCCAGCTTCTGCCAACCTAGCAGTTCGAAAGCATGTAAAAATGCAAGTAGAAAAATAGGAACCACCTTTGGTGGGAAGATAACAGCGTTCCATGCACCTTCCATTGAGTCATGCCGGCCACATGGCCACGGAGATGTCTTCAGATAGCGCTGGCTCTTTGGCTTTCAAACGGAGATGAGCACCGCCCCCTAGAGTCAGGAACGACTAGCACCTACCTTTACCTTAGATTACGTCAGTTAAGGGATTCTAATGGATACCCGGTTGGCAACTATAGAAAACCAAATAATTCTGATAGTTCTTATATTGTTCTTACTGGTGGCAAACAAATTAACAATCCAAGTCTCTATTCCGGGCCATCAACTTCAATGTTATCCGGATTAGGACAAGTCACCTTTTGACTTATTCGGGGTCTCAATGAGGACTAAGAGTGCTAAGAACTGTCTTGTGGGCTGATGGTGATAGGGCTGAATAAAGGAGTGGGCAGAGCTATCACCCAAAGTGATATAATGCTATAGGAGAATGACCTTGGAGGTAAGAGATGCTGCCTAGAGAATGGTCAGATAAGAGAGGGCATAGCCTGCAGCTGCATAATGAAAGAGGTAAGCCTTCCCACTTAGACCAGGTAAGAAGAAACAACCAGATGACAAATATCTGTAACCCAGGTTTAGGAGGAGGGTGGCTTTCTCTGAGCCTGTGAGTTGGTTTCCAAATGTTCCATTACCAGACTAGGTAACATCTTCAATGGAGGTTAGAGGGTGTCGGTGATCTTCTGTTTATAAGGACCTCAGATGAGGGTATGTCAAGTGAGGGTCTTGTGACGGGTCAGCTGTGAGTCCTCAGTGAGTCTTGTGATGGGTTTTGTGAAGTGTCTTGCGATAAGGAGATTACATCAGGTCACACTGACCTACAACCAGCCTACGAACCCCTGAGAATCCAAATCAATCACAGTCAACCAGAGACAGCACCGACCTTCAACCAACCCACACAATCCCCACCACCAGCACCTCCCAACGGCCCTGACCTGATCTAACCTCTCTATCACGAGACACACTGAGGACTCACCACAAGACCCACACTTGACACACCCACACCTGAAGCCAAGGGTGAAATCAACTTACTTTCAGTACCAGTTCACAAATGTGAGCATGTGTGCCACCTCCGCTTATGCGCAGGACCTTCTGGAACATGATGACTTCTGGGCAGGTGGGCAGCAGATGTGGGCTCCTACCGGTTCAGACTGGTTTGGCCAAATAGGTAGTACCTTGGCGGCCTGGGTTGCTGGCACCGGTAGTGACCCAGGCCTGCCACACCCCCAAACCAGTTCTCCTATGGTGGTGCCATCTTGTTTTTCAGTTGCAGAACAATTTTCATTGCAATTTTTTTTCATTTTTTAAGGTTTAAGGCGCATGCAAAAATCTTTTTATTTGCAAATGTGCATGTGCACCGAACCGGCAGTAATGCCGGCAGCAATGATGGGGAGAATCTCCTGCCGCCACCGGTTCGCTCAAACCGGATGGAACTGGTTGAATTGCACTATGGTCTGAAGCCCTTATAAGCATAAGAAAATGGCACTGACCTTCCTCTGAAGATGTTACCTAGCCTGGTAATGAAATGGAAACCAACCCACAAGCTTGGAGAATGAACCCTCAACCACAACCAGATGAGCTAATTCTACTTTACTATAAGGCTGCATAAACAGAATATTACAAGCACAAACCACCTTGAAAGCCTGAGAACTTAGGGAAGGTCCTTTCTGACCCTCTTTCTCCACCCATTAGGCACCCATAAGGCTCTCTTATCTGTTCTCTAGGCCGAGCAGCATGGTGGCTTAGAGGTGGAGCTCTAAGTTCGATCCTAGGTAGCGGCAGATATTTCTGTCTTTGAGTGCAATGAGTAATTGTGTGTTACTGGAGCTCCGTTCAGTAGCCCCGCCTCCACTCTGATGCAAGGGATTACAGGGTTGTTAAAAGAAAAAATAAATCTGTTCTCTAAGCAGCAACTCCTCCCTTCTGTCTGTCAAAGTCATTCTCACATGCCATTAGAAATGGGCAAGGTCACCATTCTCTCTTTCTCTGTCTCTGCCTCTCTCTGTTTCTCTCTCTCCCTTCCACCTTCTCTCTCTGTCTCTCTCTCTCTGTCTCTCTCTCTCTCTGTCTCTCTCTCTCTCTGNTTTCATTTTAAAAAAGGGCATGGATAGCCTTTAGAAAGTTTATAGAGTGCTCCTGGGGTGGGGGTGGGGCAAAAGGGAGCAAAAAATGGCCCGTTTTTCATTTTAAAAAAGGGCATGGATAGCCTTTAGAAAGTTTATAGAGTGCTCCTGGGGTGGGGGTGGGGCAAAAGGGAGCAAAAAATGGCCCGTTTTTCATTTTAAAAAAGGGCATGGATAGCCTTTAGAAAGTTTATAGAGTGCTCCTGGGGGCTGGGAGGGGAGAAAATTTTTGCCCTCCCCAGCCCCTAGAAGCCCTCTGAAAGGCTCCTAAAGGCTCTGCAGGGCCATTTTGGTGAAGGGGGCAGGGTTTCGGAAGGCAAAAAATGCTGTATTCAGTGTATAAGACACACCCAGATTTTCAACCTCTTTTTGGAGGGAGTAAGGTGCGTCTTATATTCCGAAAAATACGGTAAATGATCTTTTAATGCTTTTTATCCTCTTCGACTTCTTTTTGGAAAGGATACCATGCAAATCAATTTCACAGTAAAGAGACCTTCCATGCACAAGTTAACTCAGCAGCTCACCCTCACCGTGATCTGATTCAGAGGGAAATTCAGTTTCTTGAAGCTATTTCTGCACTGCTTTCTCGAGTCGCACTCATGTATAATGAGATCCATGTGCCTTTTCTTACCTTGGTAGTGTCGTGTGACTTTAGAATATCTTCTACAATATCAGGCAAATTCATGTGCAGCTCCTGGGAGGGGGGGGGGGAGAGAAGAACAGGAAGATCCCATGAAAGTTAAGAACATTATTCCAAGGGTAATTTTAGTCTATGGATATAGACCCCAAAAGTAAGAACGCTGAGTTGAATCCATAGTGTGTAGATTTGCTAAAATCAATGTGCAGCATTGCTCAATTAGTAGCAAATGGACCTGTCCCACTGATTTTAGCTGGTCTGATCCATGACAGATCAAATCTGGAATTCAGACTGTCTGATTTTATGGACCTTCTGGACAATTGGTTTCCAATTGTCCAGCAGGTTGTACAATTCTCCAGAAACATGCGGCCAACATGGCCCATTTTGGGCCTGGAACACCTACTGCACCAACCTGGAAGCCAAAACAAGGTGCGGGGCGCATATACGAGGGACGTGTGCACATGTGTGTGTTTGTGAGGGGGTGCATGCGCAGGGAGCCCTCGCATTGCATTTCGGGGTTGTACATGCTTTGGGCACTCTGTACCAAAAAGGTTAGCCATCACTGCCCTAGGGAGATACACCTGGTGGGACCCAGAAGAAGGGCCTTCTCTGTGGTGGCTCCCTCTCTCTGGAACATCATTTCCCCAGAGATTAGAATGGCCCCCACTCTAATATTCTCCCAGAAGGCGCTGAAGACCTGGTTCTGCCAGCGGGCCTGGGGAACCCAGAGCAGGATGGAGGCTATTAAATGGCTAGTATGAATGTGTGTTGTGTGTCAGGGTTCCAAATAGCATCCAAAAGTAAATCGGTGTCCAAGCAAAGTATTGCTCAAATTTCCAATTTATTAAGAGAGCCATGTTGGGACATCTGGGAATACCTGAATCTGAAAGCTTCCTGGTTTTCCCCACCCAGTTGAAAGTTCAAGATCTTCCCCCCCCCCCCCCACAAGTCCATCACATGTTCCACTCTCCCACTGCCATGCTGGCGGTTCCACCCATCCATTCCCAGTCAGGTGCCGAAGTGCAGAGACAAAGGATGACCTTGGTTTTCTAGAAAGAATTTCGTTGTGGCTACATAGTATGTGACTCCATACAATCCCCCCTCCCATTTTCCCACAATAGAAAATGCATATGGCTGCAGGCCTGACATTTTTATTATTACTTTTTCCTTTTATTCTTCTTATTTCTTTTATATGCTGTTTTTATATCCTTGCAAGCTGCCTTGAGTTGCCATGTGCGAGTTGGTGGCGATATAAAATTTCCAAATAAATAAATAAACAAGTTAAAAAAAACCTGACTATTCTAACGACCAATCCACAAGAGAACCAATCAGCTGCTCAGAATTTAAATATAGCTCCAAATCAACAACCAATCACACCACCAACTGATCACACAGGCCCACGAGACATTTATAAGTTAAAGAGGAACAGGACAAGACAATCCTACTGATGTCGTTACCTAGTGTGGTAATGAAATGTTCAGAAAGTAAATTGACAGAAGCTTGGAGAGCAAACCACTGGCAAAATGGGCAGTCCTTGTTTAGTTAATATTAATTTTTTTCAACTATTTTTTAATTGTCTTACATGCCATTTTAAGTATATATTATATATTACATAATTGTTATTCTTCTTTACATTTATCATTCTTATACATTTATTATTTTATTTAATAGGTTTTAAATATACAGTTTGAGTTGCTTTATTTACCATCCCTTCCTCCTGTTGTAACACTACCTTGTTTTCCCTTTCTTTTCTCCCTCCCTTCTCTACTTACTTCCTTTCTCCTCTCCTTCCCCTTCCTTCTTCCCTTCCCTTTCTCCTACTCCTACTCTTCCTCTGCCTACCCTCTCTCCTTCTCTTTCTCTCACTTACATCCTCCTCTCCTTCCCCTTCCTTCTTCCATTACCTTTCTTCCTCTTCCTACCCTCTCTCCTTCTCTTTCTCTCCCTTCCATCCTCCTCTCCTTACCTCTTTCTTCTCCCCCCCCCCGTCTTCCTTTCATTCTCTCCTCCTCTCTCCCTTTCTTTTTCTATTGTTGTAGGTGTCTCTTTCAGATCTCAGTTTATGTTTCCTTGGGATGGTATTTCCACAAACCCAAATATAACTTGATATCATTTCTTATTAATATTTAATTAATATTTAGTTAATATTAATGTTGAATGCCACTTACTGGAATGTTATCAATACGATTATCTTTCCAAACTTCTAGAAGGGCCACAACCATTTCTTCAATTTCAACCTTAGACAAAACTCCGTCTCGATCAACGTCGAAAACCTTGAAGCAAACTGAAAGAGACAGAAATGGTTATTCTAACAGAACTAAACAGCTGATGATGACTAAAAAGATTTTAAAGGCTGAGATGAAACCAAAACTGGATGGGTTTTTTTTGGAACTTATGGATAGTTGATTAAAAAAGATGTAAAAGACTGGTTTTATATGCGGGAACTGCAGCAAGATTCTTGTTACGCACAAAGATGAAAAAATGCTGAAAATGCCCATAATGAAGGAATGGATTGGGAAGATGGCAGAATTAGCAGAGAAGGCAAAAATTGACCTGTTTGGCCAAGGATAAAACAATATTTTTTACAATAGGCTGGAAACCCTTGATGGACTTTTTGCTGACAATGGGGGGGGGGGAAAAATCAAATGGTGATTTCAAGATTTGACCATTGGGGGGAAAAAAGATTGAATAGGGGGCTGAAGGGATCATTGTAATGTTAAGGAGCGATAAGGGATAATCAGTTTGCTTACAACTGCTTTAAACTGCTTCTTTTATTTATTTGTTTGTTTATTTTATTTTGATTCATCTGGCTGAGTCTGCAATGAACCATGCTAATAGTCATCTTGAGATTTTACTATTTCTCTACATCATTTTCATTTCTAGGCTGCTGCTTTTAACTTAATTCTTTTTTTAAAAAAAGTATGCTTTTAATTGGATGATGAACTGCTGTGAAGAAACCCTACATTTTAAAAAGCAGATATATCTATCTATCTACCTATCTACCTACCAGTGGTGGGTTGCTCATCCCGTTCCAACCGTACCGGTTGGAACGGGGCCGGCGGTGTCCTCGTGCACGCGCGCAGTTCATGCATGTGTCTTAGCGCCTGCGCGATGCTCCAGCTGCTCGTGAAGAATCACACAGGCGTTGGATGTGCCATGCGCCTGCGTGGAAGCGCAGAAGCCTTCAAAGACTGGTAAGGAGCACGGGCGGGTGG